CAGGCGGACTGGAGCCAGTCGTGGAGGCCAAGGAGTCTACTGAAGCGGCCAGCACTGCGACCAACTGTGGGAATGGGACCAGAGATAAAAACACACTGCTTTAAAAAGACGGTTAAAATCTGATTTTGTCAGCTCAGACTGCTGAAGAGCTGTGTCATTTGTTCCCACATGGACTATCACTCTTGTGATGGAGGACGGGAGCGATGGCATTAGTTCCTGGAGTTTTTTTAAAATGTCAGCCGTGGTGGCACCGGGGAAGCAGTGAGTGGTAGCGTTAAAGAAATGGATGTTTCTGGTTATGGAGTCACCAGTTATTAGTGTGGCTGGTAGTGTGGTTACCCCCGTAACATAGGGTGCCAAATATTGTAAGTATTAGACTATGTATTACAGAGAAGTGTGCAGACAGCTGATAAAGTGAAACACTTAGGCTGTTAGTTTATCAAACATGCCATCTAAGCTATACAAAACCAAATTACCCTGAAACAATCTGTAACTTTAGCGTTATGTCCTCCCTGAGGCAGACGTCACCAAGAGAATTCCATAAAATTAGCCCCTGTTCATTAACTGTACTGAAAATTATGTAACATGCGGCTGTTTTACACAAAGTAGTATATGGGCAGCATAGGTCAACGTGCTGATATTCTCTGGAAGTCTTGTTTTTTTACTTGTTTCAGTGTAAACATTTTATCTTAAATGTTTGACTCTGCCCACTAAAGAATAAAAGATTTTTTAGCAATTTTACTGTCAAAACCAGTGCATTCCAGCAGTTTTAAAACTACAAATGTTACATGTCTCATACCGTCACAAAAGCGACACTGCTGCTGAGTGTGTGTACAAGCTTTTGGAACTCACATTTGAGAACTGGCATCTGTTATTTGAAATTGCTGAGCTATCTCTGTTTAAGAAACACTACAGTGAGAAAAATTATCTAAGTTGTTTATCATTTCTGCTGCAGATCCTTTTGGTGGAGACCCATTCAAAGAGACTGATCCGTTTAAGGCTTCATCAGAAGATTTCTTCAAGAAGACCACAAAGATGGATCCCTTCTCCACACCAGACCCCTTCAGTAAAAGTGCCACATTACCTTCCAAGGTATTTGTTGAAGGCCAGAAGATGGACTTTTAATGTAAATAATTATATAAATCCCAAGAGTGTAGATTTTTAAATGACGGCTTATTGTTGGGGTACCACTGTACTGCATACTATATTATGTGGATAAGTGGGCCTTGTGTTTTGCCAAGGTCCGACATATATTGTCTTAACTTTCAGCTCCCTCTGTTGGTACTCAGACTTTACTGTGGAGAATTTCATACCCTCCTGAAAACTTTTATCTGGCTTATTGTAACCACTAATACAATTGTTGAGTTTGGATTTTCCTTCGGATGGTTGCTGTAAGAATCTCTTAAGATTTCTGGATGCTGCTCATTCAAATAGTATAAACAAGGGAAAAATCAAAATGTGGGTAAAATCAGATTTTATGTAGATGGTAAAAAAACAACTCAATACTGTGTCCTGAGTAATTTTACTATTAACAGGGTACTACTTCTTATGTTTCCTGCAGCAAACCAGTCACTTCACAAGCAATGACCCATTCTCTTCAAGCAACCCAAAACCCAAAGGTCCAGGTATGATTTACCTCATGTGATTTCTTTAATTCAACAACGAAAGGAATATGTCAGTCTTTGTTCTCTGCAATATCCAGTAATGCCATTGATGTACAACAACCTACAATGACTTAATACAACCACAGATATGAAAAAGGTTGTAACCTTGGTATACCTTGGTGCAACCTGACAAATGTGATGTTAAATGGGAGTCAGTCTTGATGTCCTTCAATCTGTCTCTGGCACTGATAGTTAAAGTGTTTTTGTGGTGGCATAACTCTTAAATGAATAGATCTGTCTGCTGTCAGTGAGTGCACTAGACCCCTTTCAAGCAGCTGTTTGTTCTCTGCTGCACAAGAGAAGCTCACATTTTCTCCAGGATATTAAAGTAGTCCATACAAACACACAGAGGGTTAACTTGAATGCCTCAGTGATTGGAGTAACTCTAGCCTGTCACCTCACTTGGGCTAATGTTTGCACAGACTAAGGTTACCATGTTGGTTTGCCTATTAAAACCATGGCTGTAAAGGAAAGGTGTCACATTTGCGTACTCACTGCTACACATTCACGTCCCAACTCAGATTTTGTGTCGATAATACTTCCAGTGCAGCTTCATAACATTCACACTGGCTGTGGTGAATCCAAGCATGTGACTGTATAGAATACAAATGTTTTATACTTAAGTAAAGTCTTTATTTTAAATCTTAGTTTTACAATCTTCATCCTGTTCCAATGGGAACTGCCAAAATTAAAATAATAAATAAATGAATTACCTTTACTAACAGTAATTCAGAGCCCCCTATTTTTCAAGCTACTGCAGCTGTCATATTTGATGGGACCCAAGTGAGCACAGAGTAGGTTGGAAAAAACGATTACAAATTTCAGGTCTGTCACGTGACGCACACTGGCCCAAAAATACTTTTCCCCATAGACTTAAATGAAAATGATGGAGACAACCACTGCAAATTTGATCCATTTGGTTTGATAACATTAGGGTTGCAACTAACAACTATTTTCATAGTCGATTTATTGTATTCATACGAAACGGACGACTATTCAGATTACAAATTGCAAAATTACACAATGCCTCTTATTTAGCTCTCAGCTTTAACTTAAAACAACCTCAAGTTTAAAGTTTAAGGAATGTGCTAATTAATAGTTAAGACAATAAAATTAATACTGCTATCAAAAATACATCTTTTAGAGGTTCAGTGTGTAAGTTTTAGTGACATCTAGTGGTGAGTTGCGAATTGCACCCCCCTCCCCTATCCAAGCGAGCAGTATTGCTACTGTGCCTGAGACAGGACAAAGATGTCATCTATTAGATAGCAGAGAGTTGCCAGTCAAGAAATCAGGTTTCTTTAGATAGATATATTAAGAAATTATATTTAATACTTAATTATTCAGTAAAACCATGTTTTAAAAAATATTATTCTTACTTGTTCGTTAATAAACAACAGCCACATGAAGAAATGAAGTGCTACATGATGTGTCATACTCCTGTAATCCATTATTTTACATCTTGGGAGGGTTGGCTCATCTGGACTAACACACCAAAGTAAATGAAGAACATCTCAAAAAATATCACATCTAGTTCATCAAGTATGACCACTGACAGATACCAGGACAATGTGAGCCTCACTGTTTCTGCACCATCTGCAGTCCATTATAAACCACATAATACATGAAGTTTACAAAGGCATTAGCTGGTGAGGATCAAGGCTCCTCTCACTTTGCTTAATTAATTAGATAAGCAATCTGCAAATCTTACCAAAATGTCTTTTTAAGTTTTTAAAATACAACAGAAACACAAAGTAGTACTGACAGCCATAATTTCAGCTTGTGGTAAAACGGTGCAACATTTTAATGGGCATCTAGCATGTAAAAGTACAAATTAGACATTTGTGTGCACAGTGGGAAGCAATATCCAAAATCTATGTTTTTTAATGCAAATTCTGAAAGTATTTGTTATTGGTCACTTGATAGGCGCACGGTCTTGTTATATATGTCACCATTAGCAGTAAAAAGAAATACATGTTTTCCACCAGGGCAGTAAAATGTGAAGTTTAGCTGCTGATCTGATCTGTTTCATTACTAATAATATTCATCAGCTGTTTGTCTCAGGAAGGTAAGGACGCATTTCTGTCCACCTAACAAAGCCATAACAGAGTGCTGGAGAAGAACTACATGAAATTACAATCCACTACACATTTTTTAAAAGTTTAGCTGGCTGATCTGAGCTTCGATGCTGGAAGCTGCCGTTTTATTGCCAATTAGCGATCAGCTGATTCTCACAAACAACATACAAAGCCAAAAACAGAGCGCTGGAGAGAGAGTGACTCCATGAAATTAATCCAACTACATATTTACACCACAAGCCAACGCCAGCGCTGGAGAATAAACCAATCCAACTACCCTTACATGATTTTTCTACCAGCCAGTAAAAGTTTAGCTGGCTGGTGCTTCCATGCTCTAAGCTAACGTTACAGTTTTATTGCCAATTTAAGTTACTGATCAGCTGATTGTCTCGCTAACGTAACCGGCAAAGCCAAACCACAGGCTGGAGAATAATGACACTACATATTTCACACCACTGACAGGGGAAACACCTCTGTGATTATGGCCAGCTTCAAGCTAAAGCTATCAAACAACTTTAGCATCGCTAAAGTCTGACAAACAAAGTTACTTACCTGTCCAGCACAAAACAGGCAACTTCAGCACCGCTTTGAAAACGTCTATCCCACTTTATAGCTTTCCATCTGGGAAAATCCACATCCGTGATTTCTGCCGTCAGCTGTTTGTAGCTGTCCTGTCCTGACTCCTTACACAATTACACAAGCAGAAGAAGAACGCCGTGATGACGAAACGCGCTCTCTAGCGCTGTTTGTCCGTTGTCAGCTATGGTAGGAACATGACGACAAAATACAGCGACCTCCACAGCAGGGGGTGCCCGCGGTTATGTAGATATAAATGTCTCATTCTAAGGTAATAAAAACATAATGGTTCATTATGTAAGGTCTTTACACACCACTGAAAACATAGTTATGGATCTTATATTGCATTTCTGTCAACACAGCCTCAGAAATATTACATGCTGAACCTTTAATGAACGTTTCTGTGGCAGAAACATAAAGTTCCACTGATATGAAAGCCTTTCATGGACCGAATAGGTATATACCATAAGAAATAACTAATCGGTCGATAATGGCTTTAACTAGTTTGATTGGTGGTCGCTAAAAAGGCCGATCAGAAAAGCCGATCAGATGATGCAATACTCGCCAGACACATTTTCAACGGCAGCTAAAATGGTTTAAAAATTTACAATGAGAGTTGAGCAGCAGTCAGACCAAGGGGGTAAGCCAGAGATCAGACAGTGAAGCCGACCAAAGCCTGCATGGAGGGATCCATGTAGGCCCAAAAATGACCCTGTGACACCCGGTCACACATGAGAGATGTAACCTTATTGCTTAGATTATAAGCTCTCAGCAATCTAAAAAAACTATTCGGCCATCAGTGACGCTGCGTTGGTGTTTCACAGGTGAGCCTCGTAGGTGGGCTGATTAATCAGTGACGATCCGAGTCAGACAAACACACAGAGCCATGAAACTTTTTTCGGTGCAGCTACCAGAATTACGGTGTTTCTGCCGTTGTTCTACGTCATTAAACCGCGGTTATGCTGCGCGATCATGCGCAGTAGACGCTGGTTCCAACAGGAAGTAGCCAAGAGTCAGACAAGCGGAGCAACAAGCAGGACCGATCATGTGAAATCATCAGGCAGAGAGAGAGACTGATCCTTCAGTGAGTTTCTGATGCAAAGAGAGGCGCCATGTACTCAATCAGCTGACTGCCTCTCTCTCTCTCCCGTATTCCTTTTATAAGGGAGACCTTTTGCTACGTTTCCAGGAGACGTTTGTTTGAAAACGCCGCCGACCGCGTGGGCAAAACAGAGGACTTTTCCGTCGACTGATTCCGTCTTATCAGTCATGCAAAACAAAACATGATGCTTCTGACGGAGTTTTAGTTTCAGTGTTTTTATTAAAATATACGTACTGTGTAAATAACACTTAACAGTTAGCCTAACTTACTGTGCATGTTGCCGTACTTAATTTGCAACGACTCCCGGTCTGTTTCCCACCGCCACAGTGTCTTTGTACTCGCGTGTCGCTTTCAGTAACAGTTCCACTTTGTTGTCGGTCAATGCAAAAAAAGTCCTGGTGTGGTTCTTGGTCTGCATTCCTTTCTTCTTTTGCCAGATCTTCGGAGTAGACCATCAGCTTCATGTTTACACCGGCACGCGCATGCCCAGTATACGTGAACGTGTAGCACTAGATGTGTGTTTTCAGTTGTTTTAATATGGACGGAGATCAACTCTGATAGGCAGCTAAAACGCTGCTGTGCACGGAGAAGACAGTATTTGTTATTAAACTGTAGTGGTGTGGATGTAGCCTCTCATTCCCCCACTCCTCTCTCAACTCCTCTCATCTCAACCCTCCCGTTTTCCCCGGGATTCTCCCGTGTTTTTCTCTTCTCACCTGATAGGTATCCTCCCTTTAAATGTTTCCTCGTAAATCTTCCGTATTTTTAACCTTTATGAAATCAACTAAAAAGCTGCTGGCCGTATTTAAAGTGTTTGCTAGTCTCTCCTCTGGTAAAGCCGGTGGCAGTAGGCCTATGGAAAAGATGTCCACTGTGTTTCTTGCACAAGAATTTAATAGATGAAAACAACCCACTGAAATGATATTAGGCCTACACTAGCGGTAAACCATAGGAAATTCGAATGAAAATAGTAACTATAAGTAATATTAACAACATACTAACAGTATCATATGGAATTAGCATTGTTTATTTAAATGTCCCTTATTTTCAGATGTCATTGATGACAGTTTTGACTCCTCTCTGTAGCCCTTCTCCCTCTCTCCACTCATCTCTCTCCCCCTAAAGCCTGAGCTTTCCAGAACAAAAAGCAGCTACTTGAGGTTATCATGGACTCATGATTAAAAAGCCAAAATATTTAGGAGATAAAGGAGCTCATGATCCATGAGCTCCTTTATCTCCTAAATATTTTGGCTAAAGCCTTTTTTTTGCCGCAGTTTTTATAGTTGCAGTAAATCTATTAAGATGCTGTTTGTTTTTGTAGTTTATTCCACAGTAAAACTATATTTGTTAAGCTATAAGATGTTCACAGTAACCAGGCAAAGGCTGCTATGGTTTAAGTCTCTAACGCAGATTGAGCTATGTTTCCCGGCAATAAAAATAAACAGTTGTCATTTCATGATACTTTATCATCTGTTAACTTTAATACTTAACAAATGTTTTTAGGACTAATTAAATAAATACAGTATACTGTATAATGCTACATGATAAATGAAAGGCTTGAAATAGACTCTGTGATCGGTATCGACCGATACTGCTTTCAGCAATCTGTGATCGGCACAAAAAACTGTGTGTGTGCAGCGCTGTGCGAGCACTGATCTTAGGAGCTGATCTTCGGTCTAGTTACGGAGCAGTTCACACTCTGGTACTGCAACACACAGACGGACACTATATACAAAGAAAGGAATAACGTCATGTATTACATTTGCCGAATTTACCAAAGGGGACAAATAATAACAATTTTGTAGTAGCAACACACACAACCCAGCAGTAAACATCGCCATGAGTGATGCATCGTTTATTATTGTGAAGTTAGAGCACATCTGCAACGTGGACAGGTTCATTGTGTGTATCATGATTATTTGCAACTCTCAACGCCATGAACAATTCATTGACCAAGGGAAACAGTATAGAAAACGTTACAGCTCATTAAATGAAGTAACATAGCTTTAACATGAAGCTAGCTCACTAACTAGCTTAACTTACTTAGACCAGTCTTCATCTTCCACAGACGTTGCCACAACGTTACGCGCCTCCTCTTCAGATGCTCCAGTGTCAGCTCACCTTTGCAGACACTGCAGTTCACGACCTTTTTGGCTGAGTGAAGAGTGAAATGCTCCCACACTCTGGAGGTTTTAGGTTGTGAAGGTGTTACTACCAATGCTGATGTTGTTTTAGTAACTTTACTGTTCACATCACTTTACTCCATTAAGCTACGTGCCGTTACGGCCCGATGATGACATGAACGAATCGATTATTAAATTCGTTGGCAATAAATTTAATAATCGATTTTTGTCGCCTACATCAATTAGTTGTTGCACCTCTAGATAACATTTGGAAAGTCTGGAAGAGCAGCACAATAAAATAATTTTATCCCTATTCAAGTTAGTTGATGGCTAAACTGGAAATGATCCAGCTCAGCTGTTCTACTCTGTGGAGATTTTTTTTCTCAACCCAGTTTCGTTTTTTTAGAAAGAATAGTGTATATTTAAATAAGAATCAATTTAATGCCAGAGAACAACTTGCTTAAATGCCCTGGAAACAGTAACCTAGCTGCTAAACGACTATACAATATCTCACAAAAGTGATTCCACGCCTCACATTTCTGTAAATATGTGATTCTATCTTTTCATGTGACAACACTGAAGAAATGACACTTTGCTCCAGTGTAAAGTAGTGAGCGTACAGCTTGTATAACAGTGTAAATTTGCTGTCCCCTCAAAATAACACATCACATAGCCATTAATGTCTAAACCGCTGGCAACAAAAGTGAGTCCACCCCTAAGTGAAAATTTCCAAACTAGTGTCAAGTGTCAATATTTTGAGTGGCCACCATTTTCTAAAATTAAAAAGCCATAATTAATTTGAAAAATGGGTGTAAATAGTTGCTGATACTGTGCCAGACATCCTTATGGTTATCGGTGGTATAGTTTGTTGCGTTGGATTGGATTTCATGTATATTGAAGGTATGGCCTCAAAACCATTGATCTAAGTCAACAAATTAACAAGTAGAATGCTCTCAACAATACTGAATATTTTAAGTAAGCTAGTAATTATGGTTACTCGTAAAAGCTTGTTGATTGAAATGAATTGTGGCTGCGTTTGTTTTTCAGACCTGTTTGGCACGCTGGACCCATTTGGCAGCAGTTCGTTCAGCAGCAACAGTTCCACTGGATTTGCAGACTTCAGCCACATGTCGAAGCCCAGAGACCCTTTTGAAGGCAGGGCCAGCTGGCTCCCAGACTACCAGAAGGTACCAGAGGCCAAAACTACACCTGAAAACACACTAACACACAAATTTTTTCCTAGTACCATCCTTATGTAACAATATAGGCTTTAAAATTATTGATGCAAATTAGAGGAAGGTGCTCTTTTACACTCCCTTCCAGCTGTCCAGAGTGCTCACATGAAATAACAGAATTTAGCTCACATTAAAATCAGCAACAGGGCACCACCCTTCAAAAAGGGACAATTGATAGCATATTAATTAATTTAGTCTAGCACACAAACTCATAACCAGGTTCTTTATAAATGAAAGGTTTATTCAACTACTAATCACACTCATTAGTAATAATTACTAAACAACAAATGAATATACAAATGCAACCATGAATGGCAAGATGTCTTCGTTTGTGGAAACATAGTGGAGGAACCGTAACATTAATCAGTGAAATCACTTTAAAAATGCACTGTTCCTTAGCTGAGTGATTGTTGGGAGGCACGAGTGAAATACTTTGAGCAATTCCATATTATTAATGTAATAGATGTGAGCTACTACTGACCTTTTCCTAATCAGGTTATTTTTAGTAATCAAGAGCATGGCCCCAGTATCACAAGAAAAGTTTCACCTGTGTTTTAAATGGCAGATGTGGCTTTGGAGAGGGAGGGCGAGGCAGTGCCTTTTCTCTGTGGGACGCTCTGAGATCATTTGTTCAGCTGCTATGTTTCTTCCTCTCCGTCAAGCTTCCTAGAGCTTTCGTGCCTTTTCTATGTAACGTGGCAACTTTAGCTTGAGCCGTCAGTCTCTGTTTCTCTCGACTTTTAGCATGCACACCCCTGCATCACTTACTTGTATTAATGTATCTATGTTGCACATCCACTAATCAGTGTAAGAAACACAGTCTGTCCCAGTGATGGCAGGGATGTTTATTTGTCATTATACAGCACAAAGTTGTAAAGCAACATAGTTAGCTAGCTGGCTAAAGCTATGAAGCTAACGTATCTAATGCTACTAAACTTTATTAAAAAAACAAATCAGTGCTGGTCTTTCAGGTGAAAGGCGGCTAAGTTGCTATCTTTCCAGCCAACCCATCACCACAGGTGTACAACTTTATGGCTATTTATAATACGTGACATGTTGATACGTTGTCATGTGTTTGCATTGTACAGCCAGAGGTCGTAATTTTGTGTGGTTAAAACAACCTATAAAAAAAAACAAAACACCACTTCCTCTCGTCTTAACAGAGTTTTGATCTGACAGCTCGGAACACGGGCAGACTGCTGAATACTTGATCTGGGAAGTTGATGGGGCAGGTCTCTGTAAAGATCTGGCACAACAGTCTCTGAATTATGCTGCTTGGCCAACAGGAGTTCCATTTTGTCTAGACCTTCAGGATCAAGTCCAAGCTGGACTAGAGAGAGAATGACAACATTATTGACATTGAACAATGTGTAAATGATTTAAAGTGGTCAAATTATGCTCATTTTCAGGTTCATCATTTTATTTAGGGCTTTTACCAGAACAGGTTTACATGGTTTCATTTTCAAAAAACACCATATTGTTGTCATACTGCACATTGCTGCAACTTTTATGTCCATTGCCTGCCTGGAGGGTATCTAACTGGCCTGGTGTGAGGGTGTGCCACACTAGCCGCTAGTTGAGCATTTTGACACGTGTTACAAAGTGACACAGATAGCTTATGGAAGTAAAGGCTGGACTACAATCAAGCTGTTTCCAGGCAGTTCAGGAGCAGTGTTTTCTGTGGGAGACAATAACTCCCTTTGGGGTGGACTTTGCAAAATTATTGCATGCACAAAAAAGATATAAATCAAAATAAACAAAGGGAAAAGCCACAAAGAATATATGACCTCTTTAAATGTTATTCCTTCATTTGGTGCATAGATTTCAATTCAGTGGCAGACAAAAATACTTAACTGCCACAGTGACAGGCAGTGAATAAGGTGAATTTCAGACCCTGCTGTGAAGACAAGATGTTTGGGGCAAAGTTAATCTCAGAGTCCTCACAGAGCTTGCTTTATGACTCTGGCCATGTAACCAGAACATACAACATGTTCATTAGCATCCATAGTGGTCCACTACACTTTCTTAGTCGCATTTAAAATTGAACTTATAACCTATGTTGGGCCACTGCCTATCATATTATAGTATATTAAAATTACTGCTGGTGCTGATAGAACCACATATTCTTCCTCTCTCTCTTTCTTTTTCAGTCAGTGTTTGTGGATGATCCATTTATTAGGAAGAATGACACGCCAGCCCTGCCACCGAAGAAAAGTGTTCCCCCAAGACCCAAACCACCCAGTGGTGAGTGTTCCACCATGTAGGCTTTCTGTAATATTGGATACTAGGGCTGCAACTAACGACTATTTTGATAGTCGATTAATCTATCGATTATTGAAACGAATAATGGACTATTCGCATTATGAATTGCAAAATTACACAATGCGTCTTATTTAGCTATCAGCTTTTAAATTTAACTTGAGGTTGTTTTAGGCATGTGCTAATTAACAGTCACAACAATAAAATAAATACTGCTTTCAAAAATGCATCTTTTAATGAACGTTTCTGCTGCAGCAACAGAAAGTTTACACGCCAGTACTGCAACACACCGGGACAAACTGACACCATATACGAAGAAAGGAATAACGTCATGCATTACATTTACCAAATTTACAGTTTATAATAATTATTAATTAACGATTTTATAGTAGACAGTGTTTCATGTTTATATATTTTCCCCTAACTCAACAACTCACAAAACTCTGATTTTTTTAAGGGAGTTAAAAAAATCGCACAGACAGGAGAACCGTTTTCTCTTCTTTAGAAAGTATGAAATTGTCCGGTCTTGTCTAATCTTGCGCACTCGGCAGCAACATGTTCTCCAGGTGGGAACGTCGCCATGAGTGATGCATCGTTTGTGGTTGTAAAGTTGGGGCACATCTGGACTGTGAACGCGGCCGTTGTGTATCATAAATGTGCTACTCTCAGCGCCATTAACAATCAATCAAATTGTCCAAAGCAAACTGTATAGAAACCGTTGCAGCTCATAGAAGTAACACGGCTTTAACGGGAAGCTAGCTCGCTAACTAGCATACCGAGACAAGTCTTCATCATCCACAGAGCAACAACGTTACGCGCCTCCTCTTCAGATGCTCCGGTATTTCCAGGAAAGCTCAGCTTTGTTGCACCCCTATTGGATACCCATTTAGCTTGGATTGCACAGAAAACCCAGTTATGATAATTTGATCTTCTCAAAAAGATGAATGATGAAAATGCATCTGTGAGGACAAACATTGTCTTGCTGAGGCTAGTGAAACAGAGGTTAGCTTTAAATGGCTCTGATAAAGGGGCTTTATCAGAAACCATCAGATTGGTTTTGTTTTGTGTGATTACCACATTACCATCATGCCCGTAGTCACCACCCTTCTGGGTATTACAGGCATGCTGAAGAATGAAAAGGGGAGATGTGTGTGTGACTTTAAAAAGATATTGGGAACCAGGGGCCGTATTACAAAAACTTCCTAACCGGCAGATCCTACCCTAACTGCTTGGTAACCATGGTAATAAGGGTTAGGAACTGATATAGGAAAAAGGCCATTACAGATTAACAGTTCCTAAGTCAATAATCCTTTCCTAACTTTAGATAAGAAAAGTGTATTACAGAAGCATCCCAACTTCGTAAACTCTCCTAACTTTAGGAGAACTGTTAAGCTGTCCTAACTTTGACTTTTCCACCAGGTAGTGTTTGCTAACTCGTTTAATCCACATGGTTGCTCTTTTATTGCTTTTACACTATCAACAAAATGTCAACAGGCGGAACTTAATTGTTTCTATCGATGTGTTTGATGACAAAAGTATGTCGCGATGTAACGCTAGATAATGTCTCATTATATAACATAGCCTAATGTGAAGGCTTGATGTAACAAAAGGATCCTAATGCAAGTCTTTGATAGGAGGAGATCGTTAAATTCAAGAAATACATGAAAAACATGATGACGTTAGCCCGCAGCCTTTATTATTATGATTTACTTTCCCGAGAAGAGAAGCCTACGGGTTTCTGCCGGGATCAGTGAGGGAGCACAGGAGGAGCCACCAGCGGTTTCATCTGCTCTTTGGACACTACAGTGGCCTGTGTCATCATATCACTGTAAATTTCTTTTTGACAGCATCAGCGCTCCGCTGGATGCCAGATATTGTCCACTATTTTAGCCCTCTCTCTGTCTTTAATCTCCCCAGCTAAGCGTTATGTGGATTTGGATTTCTCGATGGAGGTTACAAACACCTCTAAGTCATCTGACATGAAGTCCAATGATAGTTGTTGTTTCTGCTCCATTTCAGTGTATGTTTGATTTAAAAAACGGCCAAAAAACAGCGATTAAAAAGCCGTTTAGCTCGGCGAGATGAGAAAAGTGGAATCGGTTGCTAGGTAACAGACATAAAAGTTGATAAGCGATGTTGGATTGAGTATTTAGGATTTCCTAACCTGAGATAAGACAGGATTCCTAAAGTTAGTTAGGATTTGCTTCTGTAACACCAAATTGGGAAAAATCCTATCTTAGACTCTTCCTGTCTGAACTTAAGACTTACTTACTTACTGTCCTCCAACATCAAACATTCCGCTCACAATCTGGGGTGATCTTTGACTTGGAGCTTGGTTTTGACACACAGATTGCCAAAGCAATACAATCACGCTTCCTCCAACTTGAAACATCGCAAAAGTTAAAAAAGTATAAGTGTGCAGACCTTGAAAAAGTCATCCATGCTTTCATCTCATCACATCTGGATTACTTTAATTCCCTGTATTCAGGGCTCAGCGAAAGACAAACTTTAAGAGACAAGACCATATCACACCCATCCTGGAACATTGCACTGGCTACCTGTTAAGTTTAGAATTGAATTTAAACTTTTAAAGCCCTACATGGCTTTGCTCCTGTCTACATTATAGATTTACTCGTGCTTCATGAGCTTACCTGCTGCCTGCGCTTCTCAGGTAGAACCTATTTAGCTGTTCACACAGCCTGCCTCATCAATAGAAAATTATTCCTCTTTTATCACTTGCTTTTTACCAGTTTTAATTTACCTTGTTATTATGTTTTATATTGTTTTTATCTTGACTGTGTGCACTATTTTTTTGTTCTATAAAACACTTTGCAGCTGTGTTTTTGAAAAGTGCTGAACACTTGCTTCTCATCTGCTGAAATGGATACAATATTTCACTATGAAAATACCAGTTGCCTTGAAAGGAGTTCAGTAACCCAATGCTAATACAAATACTATTTTTTGTAAAGAAATTTTCATTTTAAAGTGAAAGACTACAATAAGATCTTTATGAATGGCAACTTTGATGTAGTAAACTGTATAGTTGTAAGCTGTGTTGAAATATAGATGTTGTTTCACCAGAGAAATGCTTTTTTTTCCAACGCAGAAAGTCTCTGCTCTGATCTGTCAACAGGAAAGAATGTCATTGTGGGTACAGAGAAGATAAAAGCCTTCACGTATTTGCCAAACCACTGCTATCACACACTGTATATGCTATGTAGTTTCTCAATTCAAGCACTTAGCTGGCAGTGGCAAGGAGTGATGTGCACTGTAACATCTCATATTAAAACTTGTATATCCTGTAATATTGATAATAGCGAGTTTGTCATTTGTTTGGAAGTTTGCGTTTGTCACTTCTCAGATGATGTTTTGATACAGGACCAGCAGTAATTCACTTTTACATCAATTCACTTTATTCACAAGTTATCTTGATCTGATCAGCCTATCTCTGCTGCTGACCTACTAGTTAAACTGGAAACATCTCAAATATCATGTAGCAACATTAGGTTTTTTATTGATTTTACATATCAAGTGCCCTGTGCTGTCATCTGTTTTTTCTTTGCTTGTTTGCTAACATCTTCTTGGAATAGTTTGACTACAGTCCCTCCATTTCCTTAGTGAATTGCAATGATGGGACAGTAGTGTACATCAACAGGACCCTCAAAAACCAAGTGTGAACACGCAACTAAAATCAAGCCTGAAATTAGATTGGTAGTAGTATAGAGGCTCTCACTTCCCACTTCAGTGCCCATAACACATGAACTTCAGTGTAGTGTAGCTTTAGTGCTCCAACTGCTGGCCCACATTTATGACATAGGAACAAATTATAGATAATGAAAAGATATGTGAAAAATGTGGGATGTAATGCTTCAAATTGTGGTCTTTCAAATAGTTTTTTATTTATGGATGTAATGATCAGAAAGGATGTTTGGCAAAAAGTATCTGGGGGACAGCACAACATTGTCCCTTGGGATTTGGTGTTACCCAGAATCCTCATCTTAAATTTGCTTCTGTTACACTGTGCCAGATGCTAACACTGTTGACTCAGTGGTTGTAGAAGGGGACTAGAGAAAAGACTGTCACATCTTTGATAGCAGGTTTTTAATTTGTTCAACAGCAACAGTCAGACAGCTGTCAGTCAGGCAATCTCTACCATTCACTCTGCAATGACCATCGGCTAAACCTCACATTAATGCTCAAGATTTACAGTCCTTTTTATAGTGTGATTGTTCACAAACTGCTGCTCTGCAGTTTGTTTGTAAGCGCATGTGAATTTGATGTTGTAAGAGCGATGATATGTGGTTTGCTTGGCCTGTTGTTTTCAGACACACCCTAACTTGCTTCCTCTCTCTTCCCTTTGTGTGTGTGTGTGTGTGTGTGTGTGTGTGTTTACAAGGGTGAGTGGTTCAGAGAAGGTCAGGCTGCAGGCTGTGTGTAGTTGGCGAATGGCAGCAGTGTTACCAGTGTAACAGTTGTTACACACTAGTGTCTTTATGTTTTCTTCACACACTCACATGCATGCTCTGTCACTTTCCCTCATCACCTGATGATGTGTGAATAGGGCAAGGCTGCAGTGACAGTGCTACAAATAAACTGGCATGATTGGGCACACAATGCTGTAGCTGTATTGTTTTCAGTAGATTAAATACGGCATGCTGCATGTACAATCCTGTGGTAGACATTAAAATTAGATGCCACTAATGTAGTGGATTATTTTAAAACAGGGTGGAGCTCATGATTGTGGTTTCTCAAGTGTGAGTGTGTGTATGCAGTTTACTGAAAGAGGAAAAAACTGATTGCCAGGCATGCAGTTTTGCTCGGCGTGGAGTGTGAAATGAACTGCTCACCCCGATCAGCCAAGTTATCTGGGTAATAGGACTAAATGTGTATGTGTGTGTTGTATGACAACGGTTTGACTGGTTCTGTGGTTTAACACCTATACAAGCTACATGATGTACTCTTAACGTTCCCACGATCCTCTGCCAGCCCCAACTTCAGCTCCCTTTTAATAGAAACTGTCATTACTATGGTTATTATTTTGTCATATTTTTACTCTTGTATAGATCCACCTGTGGTTCTACAGCATCACTGAGTCTGACAAACAGGGATGTGTAAATGACAATTGAATTTTAGGGTTAATTTCCCAAAAGTATTGAACTGTTTGGTCTCAGGGATAGCAGCATGTCTTTCACCGTCTCTGCAAATCTTCAGTTATACTGACTGAATATAAGGCCTCTATAAGACTCTTAAATGCAGTCAAAGAGATATTAAAATGTAACAAATGAATTTAAAGTCAAGAATAAAGCTAGTTAGTGGACTGTCAGTTGAGATTATTTGTCACATATGCTAAATAAAAAACACAAAAATTTGATTTTTACATATTTTTTACCTCTTGACACAATACATTTTAATAAAATGTTTTATATAGAGCAGAAACAATTAGTCAGATGTCATGAAATTAATCTACACCTATTTTGATAATCTATTAATTGTCAGTAGTCATTTTTTATGCAAAAATGCAAACTGTATCAATCTGTAGTGTAAACTGAATATCTTGGCTTTGGGTTAAAAGGCTATTTACAGTATTAAATCTGACTTTATAAATGAACTGGTGTATGTTGAGCTTTCTAACCACTATTCTGAAGGTCGAGGATGAACTTTCTCCTTCGAGCTGTTTCTCTAATTTTCCAGTATTTATTACTGGTTGCTTTGGTGCCAGTATTTGCTTTGAAATATAGCAGTGATGAAACAACACCTGTCTGTTTGTGTAGTTGGTAAATTGGTGAACCAACAGTTGGTTATGTGGCCAGAAACCCAACCAAATGATTTACCAGGAAACCGTTGAGAATGGTTCAGTGGATTATGGGGTATCACTTTTGGTTTTAGTACTTTGGCAGTTGTCTTTTGCTGGGTGTTTTTTCCTATACCAGCTGTTTTTATATCTTTCCTCTCTTAGGAGGATGTAGCACTGCATATGATAACTTACAGAAACATTAGTGCTGGACTATGAGTTGTTTTGGTGTGCCGCATGTGAAGATGAAACTTTTGCGGCTTTCAGAGGCTTTGAGGTGACACCGGGGTGAAGAAGGGCGTGGGCAGAACTGTGAGAACCAGAAAATGTAGTACTTGTGTGTTTTAATTCAGAACAGATCAAATCAGATCCTGTATTGTCAACATAGTTCACTAAGGTGAGAATTACTCATGTGATCTGCAGTGATGAGTCATGGTATTTCTCAGCTATCACTGAACACATTAGCACTTGATCTGGTTACATGTTTGTTTTTATGCTTTTTCTCCACAGAGCAGATTGTTTCTGTGCTGTCCCAGACACCCTTATTCCCTTTACTGATCTTTTTTAAAGAATGCCTTCGATTTTCAGATTTAGACTTATTTTTACTTTCAAGTCACTTGTCAAATTGTTGTCACGTGACAAAGTCACATCAGTGCCGTGCACAGGTTGTGTATGCCTGGTTTTAGTCAGCCAGCATGTATTGGAATGGTGGTGATGATATAAAACGTGTCTCCTCTCTGTGGTGATGGTTCCCTTTGTCCTTTATGTCCTTAGGTAAGAGTACACCAGTGAGCATGTCTGGCACAGATGACCCTTCCAAACCATGTGACCCCTTCCAGCCATTCAGCGGTGATGCCATCGACCCATTTCAGAGTAAAAAGGGGCCAGGAGACCCCTTCAGCGGCAAAGACCCTTTCGCTCCATCTTCAGCATCAAGTAAACCTCTTAAAGAATCTACATCGGATTTTGCAGACTTCAGTTCTGTAAGTTGAGATGAGTGATACTGTTTAACTGTCAGTGTCCAGTGCAGGCCACAAAGCTCTGCTTGGAGCCCAGCACAGTCACTAGATTTAGGTTATAGTGATTTTGGTTTACTCCTAAAGACTAATGAATGCTCAAAGGCAGAGGGTGTAGCAGACCTCTGTAAGGGTAGTAGAAGTACATTATATAGAAGTGTAATAAATGCTTCTCAGTCACTACTATATGGCTTAAAACAGCATGTTTTTGGACTGAAATATGATTACCAGTCTTACAGTGACAGTGGATCAGTTAAAAAAAATTAATTTGTATATTGAGATCTGATCACAATGTGGGCAGAATTAAGAGATAAAGAGAATGCTTATTAATACCGGGTGTGAAGGCAAAGGCCCAGGATCACATGTCCTTTCCAGATCAGGGCTGAAACTAACAATTGTTTCAACCAACTAATCGAATAATTGTTGTAATCTGTTGTTCAGATAATTTGCATGTTATTACCAGGTAGCAATGGAGTCATTGTGATTGGCTGATGATTGAAGTGGTGCTTTAACAGCAGCACATGTTGTAAAAGCGGATACCAAGTATAAATAGTTACAGAGTCAACATAACCAGACAACTATTGAACAGTATTAACGCTGAGCCAGCATAGGTTTTGTCTAACTAGGGCAGGGTGATTACTGGTTATTGTGACAATATAATTATATCATGTAATGACAGAATTCCGTTGTCTGTATTAATGATTACAAACAAATTGATTAAAGTGATTAGACACAAAAAAAAGTTCACGTTCTACGTGGGTAACGTCTTCTGTAACCCATAAGAGGAACACAGTCCCCCGACACCACATTACCCTCAATTATTTTAAATACATTTGCTATATATATCAATATCAGACAAACATTGGTTTAATACAGTTAATACTGTGATATTGATTTCAACCATCTAATGCATGTCCAATGCAGTAAGCTGCATCCAATTTTATATTCATAACAAAACACCAGAAAAGAATATATCACCTGTCACAATACAGATTAAAAAGTACAATAGAATACAGTAAGTTACTAAAGTGAATGCACTGACCTACAGTTAGGTTGTTAACAAGACAGGACCGCTCACGAAGGCAGCCTGCTCACTCTGCTTTAGATTCTCTGTTGCAGCTCATTCTAATCATTATCTGTTCACTATCACTATCTCTTCTCAGATTGTTAATCACACTCTGCTCTGCTGTTTCATAATCTAAAAGAGTTCATCCTCTACAGCGCTCTAATTAGCACACAGTATCTCTTTTTTTGGAATAGAGAAAAATATACTTTAATGTCCCTGTGGAGAAATTGGGTTTGGTTCGAGTCACAGGGATGTGGCGCACCAGAAGCTGAAGAGCTTAGAGCTTTAATCTGTACACAGACCGTAATAAGAGAACAGTTTGTGTTTAAAGAGGGAGTTCCATGCTGGGAGCTGTTGGAGTCTTGTTTGAGTTTGAGACCAAAACCTGTGCTCATGGACTGAATCTAGGAACCTGCACCATAGCCAGAGACAGGCTAGCTGTTCCCACCTCCTTCAAGTCTTTATGCTAGGCGAACCATCGTCCTGGCTCCAACAATGTACTTAATGCCGACATGAGACGGATCTTCTCAGTGATGTACTAGTCCTTTAAACATTTATTCAGCAGTGGTGACTTGTTGTGAGAACAAGGACATATACCATAGCTAAAGGTCAACCAAAAGCAGCGAAGGGTAATTACAGGACAATTTTTATGAAGTTTGTGAAACTGTATCCAAGTATCTCAAGGGCTCACTTTAACTTCCTGACTGTGATTGTTATTGAGAGGGAAACTAAAACCTAAAATGACCCCTTTGACCACTGTGTGACAACATTTGAACCCAATTTACAAATCGCAGTTTGGCATTAAAGCTGTGTAGGCTGCAGAACAGAGCTGCAGTGTGACTGTCATCTTCTTAAAGTGCAGGAAACGGGCGTCAGCCCTTTACATGTTTGCTTGTTTTGGCAGGAAGAATATCATAGGTTTGTTAGGGTTTCCCCGGGCCGTTACAGATTAGCAGTGGTGTGTTGGCACGATGGACTAGTAGAGTCTCGGAGAAACAAACACAAACCTGCTGTAACCCATTAGCAAATAACTACAAGAACTCACAATAATCATTCAGATAACTGTTTTTGTTTTCAAAATAACATGCATTTCTAATTTCAGTCAGGCAGATAATCACTGTTCACCGTTCTTAGCTGGGAATAATGCTTCTGTCTAATTGGCTGATATGAGACACAGCAGTATCACTTCTCAACTCTCAGCTCTTGAATCTGTCTGCCCTACATGACCTTGCTGTGTGTGTACTACTGTGTCCACCATCTACCTTGTTGTTAGTAGATCAGTGCTTTCCATCTGCTGTACATTCTTGTTGTGTATGTCTTTGTCTTGTTATGTTACTGTAGGTTTGCTTTTTATCACCACACTCAATCACCCACAAACTGACTGCTTTACTGTATATAAATGATCTAATTATTTATGAAAAATAATTAGCTTGACTTTTAACATACAGTGGGGAGAACAAGTATTTGATACACTGCTGATTTTGCAGGTTTTCCTACTTGCAAACATGTAGAGGTCTGTAATTTTTTATCATAGGTACACTTCTACTGTGAGAGACGGAATCTAAAAATCCAGAAAATCACATTTATATGATTTTTAAATAATTAATTTGCATTTTACTGCATGACATAAGTATTTGATACATCAGAAAAGCAGAATTTAATATTTGGTACAGAAACCTTTGTTTGCAATTACAGAGATCATTCATTTCCTGTAGTTCTTGACCGGGTTTGCACACACTGCAGCAGGGATTTTGGCCCACTCCTCCTTACAGACCTTCTCCAGATCCTTCAGGTTTCGGGGCTGTCGCTGGGCAATACGGACTTTCAGCTCCCTCCAAAGATTTTCTATTGGGTTCAGGTCTGGAGACTGGCCAGGCCACTCCAGGACCTTGAGATGCTTCTTACGGAGCCAGTTGCCCTGGCTGTGTGTTTCGGGTCGTTGTCATGCTGGAAGACCCAGCCACGACCCATCTTCAATGCTCTTACTGAGGGAAGGAGGTTGTTGGCCAAGATCTCGTGATACATGGCCCCATCCATCCTCCCCAATACGGTGCAGTCGTCCTGTCCCCTTTGCATCCCCAAAGAATGATGTTTCCACCTCCATGCTTCACGGTTGGGATGGTGTTCAAACACGGCGAGTGGAGTTTAGACCATAAAGCTCTATTTTTGTCTCATCAGACCACATGTCCTTCTCCCATTCCTCCTCTGGATCATCCAGATGGTCACTGGCAAACTTCACACGATGCGCCCACCTTGAGGATTTGAATCCATGAACTAATGGTTTTCTTTGAGACTGTGGTCCCAGCTCTCCAGATTGACCAGAGGGAGATTGATGCCGTCATCTTTGACCGTCATCTTGAACTTCTTCCATTTTCTAATAATTGCGCCAACAGTTGTTGCCTTCTCACCAAGCTGCTTGCCTATTGTCCTGTAGGCCATCCCAGCCTTGTGCAGGTCTACAATTTTATCCCTGATGTCCTTACACAGCTCTCTGGTCTTGGCCATTGTGGAGAGGTTGGAGTCTGTTTGATTGAGTGTGTGGACAGGTGTCTTTTATACAGGTAACAGTTCATACAGGTGCAGTTAATACAGGTAATGAGTGGAGAACAGGAGGGCTTCTTAAAGGAGAACTAACAGGTCTGTGAGAGCCGGAATTCTTACTGGTTGGTAGGTGACCAATACTTATGTCATGCAATAAAATGCAAATGAATTATTTAAAAATCATACAATGTGATTTTTGGATTTTAGATTCTGTCTCTCACAGTTGAAGTGTACCTATGATAAAATTACAGACCTCTACATGCTTTGTAAGTAGGAAAACCTGCAAAATCAGCAGTGTATCAAATACTTGTTCTCCCCACTGTATGTCTACTTTAAAAAAATCCCTTTCATTTAGTTCATATAGAATCTATTTAGCCTGTATAGGCTAAAAGGTCAGAAATAAACAGGCGAGAGGCCATGAAGAGCTTTAAAAGTGATCAATAGAATTCTAAAACATACTGGGAGCCAGTGTAATGAAGCTAAAATAGGGGTGATTTCTTTCTTTTATTTCTCTCACTTTCTGCATGGCACGTCTCTTCTTGTTGAATTGATGTTCAGCTGCTCTTTCCTTCAGTTCTGTGTTGTTTGTTTCTACTTGAAGGGATTCTCTGACAGTTCGGTTTCACCATTCCATTTGTCTCATCTGTGGCACTTATTGGCAAATGGCAAGTGTCTACTTCAACTTCAGCATCTTGTTAGCGTTGCAATTCATGATTTACTTCATGATCACTAACTAGCCTCTAGTTTGAGGCTGGCTGAATAACTTGCTTTCAATAAAAAAAAATACTAGCATGTAGCTAAAGACAAATGAGAAGGACAGATAAAGTGTTTCAGAGAGGACTGAACAGCAGGTATCCCTTTACAGTATCTTTGTGCTGTGGTGTGACGTCCTGTAAGATAGACTAGAGCCACTGAGTTCAGAGATTTCTGGTTTATAACTCTGTTCTGTAATCCACCTCTCTGACAGGACCTGACAAAGTCAAGGTAAGATATTGAACACACAATAAAATTCACACAAAGAAAGCCTGGGTATGTTATCAAATAATGTGATAATGACCATACAGGCAGTTCATTTCAGATATATGTTGGAGAATTTGTTTTGATAGATCTTACATCATGTGTTTGCTGAAAAAGGAAATGACGTTTACTGTGTGGATTACCAAAATGTTCATACTTATGACCAAGTGAGTTGTTACTCTGTTAAGATTACCAACAACTATAAGCAGAAAGCTCAGTCTCTAACATGAATGAAGGACGCATGTTACATGTGTATCCCAGGATTTAACTGGCAAGTATTGCTTTTAACCAAACTTTTATTTGAACTGACGTAAATAAGGCGTTTACACCTTCATGTAGTTTTTGAGTCTAATACACAAATATAATTCAGTTCCTTCAAATCATTTTACAGTAATCAAAATGAAAGAGGAAACTTGAATTATCTTTGTAAAGGAAGAGTTTATGGCTGAGCTGTTGTTTTGAATTACATTACATTTTACAGGTGTACCTTAAAAGGAGCCTAAATATTGCTCTACTAGGTCCAATAAACATTCAGCTGAAAATAAAGTAGGAAATCCAACACTTTATTATTATTGTCCATCTCACTGCTGTTCATCATTGTGGGGGGAAGAAAGAGCTTTGTGCTGCCTCTCACGTAGTCAGTGACATTTTATTTGAATAACAGACATTTATGTAATAGAGATCAATGTTTAAAAATGTCAGACATCACTTAAGACAGATTAAGTCAGCGATGTTACAGAATGCATCTCCCTCTCTCCCCCTCTCTGCCTCTGTAGTTTGGGAATGAGGCTCAGCAGTTGGAGTGGGCGAAGCGGGAGAGTGAGCGAGCAGAGCGCGAGCGGCTGAAGAGGCTCAGACAGCAGGAGCAGGAAGACTTGGAGCTGGCCATCGCCCTCAGCAAGGCTGAGATGTCCAACGCATGACCAGCAGTCTGTGCGCGCACACACACACACACACACACACACACAGCATATAGACAGGCTAACATGCAAACAAACATGACTGACATCTAAATATTCAGACAGAAAGCACATTACTGAACTAACTCTCTCAAAATCTGGTCCACACACACACAGGGGACCTGCCCCCCCCCCCCAAACTCCACCATTAAAAAGTAGACATCAAAACTGAAACTGAAGGTGGTGAAGTCATCACTGCAGAACTCTAGAGAGGATGAAGAAGGAGAAGAGGAGGCAAGAGGGGCTCGATGGAAACAAACGGATGCACTGTGTATATGCACTGTAGTAGCAGCACAGTAATGTGATGGATCTGTTCACTGGACTGAGCCAACTTGCTGGCCATTGCTGACAGAAAACCTTGACAGTTTGAATTTAGCATGTTTTTCCTCTGCAGTTTTACTCACCATGTAGGGAAGTAGCATATATTAGCATGTTAAACAAACAGTTGCTGTCAGTAGTAACTAGCAGCAGTGAGTAAAATAACACTACAGTTCAAACTGCCAAGGTAGTACTTAAAAGGGACTGTTGCTGATGTATAGGGGTGACATGGATATATGACTGAGCTGATGGAGTAGACTGTGTCAGTTAGTATTGTAGAGTGTTTTGCTGGTAAGAAGATGCTACAGAATGAGGTATTACATTTACAGATATATTTTCAGTTATTTGTTTATAGAGGAATATAGAGAAGACTTTCGCTCCTCAGGATGGAGAATTTTCAAATCAGTTTTCTCATTATTTTTTTTTTTCAGGAAATACTGGCACTAACCCAGACTCAGATAAGAAGTGAGAAGGTTGATATTAGTTGAGTTTTTTCACTTCTGCTGGAGGCTAACTATTTCCCTCTGCTTTGGACAAAGATAGGCAAAACTCTGTACTGGATATACAGAAATGAAAATGATATTGAACTTATCATCCGACTCTGGGTTAGTTATTGCACTTCAGGTTTTACTATGAGATTAGAGACTTTCACCTGAAGTACTGACATGGCTGGATTATCAAGCAGGCAAAGCAGGCAAGTGTCAAACTTTCAGGTTTGAGACCCAGAAGCGACTCCCCCCTCCACTGGCTCTTTCTGTGTGAAAAAGAAACCTTTTAACCAACATTAGTCGGATATGTTCACGTTTCACTCCCATGAAGTACCTGACAAATAAAAATCACGTTTTAAATTTCAACATATCCTTTGGATTTGTTACAGTAACAAATTGCACAGATTTATTTTCTTTGTCCATTAGTGTGAGGGTGTGCTGACGAGAGTTTGCTGTGATGACCTGCAGTACTCTCTACCCCGCTGTCCAGTGTATAGAGATAAACAGTGCAAACTACGCCTCTTCTCGACAGCTGTGCTCTGATCCCAATGCTGTGATGTCACACATGCAACAAATCAAAGGCAAGATGAGGGAATTCATTTTTCTACAAGTGACTGTGTTTTCTTTTTAGAAACCAAGGCTATTAACAGCTATTACTTCAGCTGGTTAATATTTTGTTACTTTGGCATGTTTTTGTTTTAAAAGAACATCCAACTTGTAGTTTGTTTTGTGCTCTAATTTTTATTTGCTTTGGGACTGGCTGGCAGGTGTCATTAGGCTGGAATTTGAAAATAATGTGGTTTCTGATGTGTCATAGTTTCTGATGTGCCATGTTTCATGATCCAACATGGACTTAACCACTCACCTTGTTTTTCTGAGTTGTCCCTTTTACTTGAAGTGGTGACTGATGTTCGAGTGACGCTGATGTCGACTCTAAACAGAACAGATTCTGTCAAAATTTCTGTTTCACTCAGAGCCCCTCTGTTGTAGTTTCAAATATCATGTTGTGTTGGATTTTACATATGCGAGTCTGTATTCTGTGTGTCCATGACCAATCATATGCTTCAGTCAGTACCCAACAGTCTGCACAGAGCACATGTGTTGTCAACGGTACTTTAAGGAATGACATATTGAGTTTGTTGTTTGGCAGAAAGAAGACGAACACTTGGCTTAGTTAAAGCAAAAGGTGTTGACATTGTTAGTGTTCCTTATTGAGACCATTTTTACCACTAGCAGTTCTTTGGTCTCAGAACCATCATACGATGTAATACAGTGCTGGATGTCTTCTGACGGAACTCGGAACATTTCAACCAAGATTATTGAAGGAAGAACTTAGAAAATACTAACATCCCTTAATGACTTCTAAGGCAGGTATAGAGGAACAAAAACAAGATTGTATTGGCTTCAAAGAAAGAAAAACTGGCTGTTGCACATCTTTCATTCATTGTATTCGGACTTAAACGTTGCTAACTGTATTGCCCACTATCAGGGGGGTGAATATTCTAACATTCTTCCCAAAATAAATTTTACCAAAATGTCTAGGTTCCATCAGATATCCACCCTGGACTGATATGCAGTATGATTTGCCCTGGATCAGGGCTAGGTGTCTGTAAAATGCTAACAAGCTGTATCTTGGGTGGAACTCTCAAACAAAATACTTTTTAATCCACTAAAACCTTAAGCCTATTGTGAGCTAAGTGGTAAGTAGTATGTAAACTTTGTGTTGGTGTTTGATCACAGCAGCCTCTAAAAAAGGGCTTTGCACTGACTAGTAGGGCAGGAGGACGTGTTATTAATGTTACATTTGCTTCTCCAGACACCACATTGAACAAGATGATAGTGATGAGGAGGTCCCCATCAGGACTTAAATATCGATAACGTTTAGATTTTCCCCAGATATTATACATGTGTGTAACTGAGGGTAAAAATGTTAAAAATCCATGTAATGTGAATTCACCAAAATTGGACAGAAATGCTTGAGTTAAAGTTGATGTGCAGCCACTGATTCTGCCAGGAAATGTGAACTGCCTCTCCCTGCCATTTTTTGTCTTGTTTACATATCATGAATATTTACTTTGCTGTAGCTGTTACAAACAGCGTACTGTACCTGTTGGGGTGCAGTGTCCCTGGTACATAGTGAGCTTTTCTAAACTGTACACGGACTGAACACCTGAACAGTTTCTATCTACTTCTGAGCCATAAAACATGTTGACATTTTGAATATTTGCTGTGCTGCTGTCACACTGTAGAGAGAATGTTACTAGATGAAGAACTTCATCCCATCAGTTTTAATTCCTCATTGAAACCAAAGGGTGCTATTAGCTATCAGCTTACAAGCTAGCTTGTTGTCAAATCTTGACACTGTACTGAAGACGCAACAATCAAAAAACCCCAAAAGGCTCATTCTATCCTGAAACAGCTGGGCACTAGTTTTTAGTGGTTTGTTAATGCTAACATTAACATTACATAACCTGCTGCTAACTGCCAACTGTTAAACTTTAGTTTAATATGGAAAGCCATCGTTAACAATGTCATATCCAGTTAACTAAAGTGCCGCCAACTTGGTCACAACAATGTGACAAGAAGCTTGCACAGCAAAAAGAAGCTACTAATATTCAAAGTGTCCACTTCAGTTTGGTCTCAGTGTGTTTGTGGTGTTTAAACCACAGCCAGATGGCTCAGCTGCAGTTAGAAAGAAAACCACTTTATGAGACGTGGACAGAAATCTATCATTTAGAATAGATCTGAGTGTCACAGGATGCTATGGTACCTTCTGCACTTGGAGGGGGTTTAGGCAACTTGTGATATTTTCACACAGTATAAATAGCAACGTCCAGGAAGCAGAGGGCTTCATAGAAAAAGCCCAATGCTGCCTGTAGTACCTCCCAGAAGCAGAAAGTACTTGAATATTAGAAAACTTGAGGTGGACTCTTTTCTGGAGCTTTCAACCACACACATTTCACAGTTGAAAGCTCAGGAAAAAGCTATTTATAAAAACTTTTTTCTAAAGTCAAGAAGGAACTTAACATTCAAATAGAAAAGCTGTGTCCACGTTAACACACTCGGAGCTAGGGCTGGGTATCATTTGGAACTTTCTGACTCTAGCGGGGATATGATACCTGAGTTCCAGTACATACACCAAACAACACTTTATCTTTTGTTTTAAAAATAAGCCTATGTTTTAAATTTTTTAATGTAAATTAGTCTAAAATTAGGCAAATAACATCAGAAACTGTTTAATCCAGGTGTAAGTTAAAATATTATAAATCTGACCCAGTATTTATTTGATGCCATCTTATTGTACTTTTTGACACTCTCTGCTACAGACACATTTCAGTCGGTACCAGAAAATGTTGATACTTGATACCCACCCTGGTGTGAACTGTGACCCTCCATCTGTTCTTCATGTGTTCCTGTCCACCTCCCTCCCCCAGTCCATCTGCAGTGTACTGCTTAGAGTGGTGCGTTCCACACCGGTACCATCATTCATACTGTATTTGTAACCTGATACCTCCATTGTGCAATAGATAATGTTTATTTTTATTGTTGTTTTGTGTATCATGTGAAACCAGTGTGATGTTTTTGATATGTAGCATATGTTTTTAATATGATTATTTATGCACCCGCAACCAACCACGCCTCTGTCCCGACTTTGTCGAGGAAGTTCATGCTTTGATTTAATGCCACTAGCAGCAGAATCGACCAACCAGTCACTCAAAATGCTTTTGTTATTTTGGGGAATTTCTCAATAGTTTGTAATTATCAGCAAAGCTTGCAGTTAAATAAACAAAAAATCTGTGTGGGATGACAGCTGAAAAATATCAAGATTTACCATTTAATAAATCCATTGTTTTAGTATTCATGTTATTTCTCTCAAATTTGATTTACGTACAAAGCCTTTTGAATGCTTGGATAATTGTTCAGCCTTCAACTGCCCGTCCTCCCATGTAGGCAAAATAATCTGAACTGTCTTTATTAAAATGCATACAATGTGTATACAGTCTGTATAGTATCATATTATGGTCTATTTGTCTTACAGAAGAGAAGAGAAAGAAGAAAAAGTAAACTTGATAAAGAACCATTTGGAAGAATAATAGCTGAGGAGGGAACAGATGCTGGTTTATTTTGAACAGTGTTTCTCTCGACATGGTCTGTACTGTTTACTAGAATAAACATTTCAGTTAAATGAGAATGGACTGCAGCTTGATTTGTTACAGGTAATTGCATGTAGAGCAGTAGTGCTAAAGTCTTGGAAGAGCAGCCCGTCCTCACCAGAAAATCACGTAGGTTGCTTGTGAAGCAGCTTATTGCGACCTCCATTTATGTTTTTTCTTAGGCCGCGACCTCTAGTGGCCATATGATGGGAGCACCATTTGGTGATGTAGTATAAAGAGCCCACGGTGGACTGGTTCTTTCCAACAGACATATTATGTTCTGGGACCCGTTGACAATCTACCTATTTTGTTGTTATGGTCGTGTTGTAAAGAGGCACTGCAGTAATTTAATATTGCACTTCCATAAAGTTGTAAGACTCAAAAAGCAAATTTTAAAAAAAGAATGATAACAATGAAACACCACAGGCCAAAACGCCAAAAGGCAGGTTGCTGCAGCAACCATGTTGGTTCAGCTTTATCTGAAAAATGCTTCCACAAAATAAAAAAATACATTATGTGACTTTGACTGACTTGTTTATTTAAATGTGCACATTTGTTTTTCTTGTTATTGCTCTCAAAACAGATCATGGCTCTATCCAGAAGCTGCACATAAAAAATCCCACCCCTCCCTTCTGGCCTCCCTCCAAAACCACTCCCCAAAAACACGTTTGCAGTGAGTGCAGGCAGGCCAGCCAAGGCCATGTCCTGCCACAGGTATGTTTGTGTCAGAGCATTTTTATTTATTCACTGCTGTCAGGATGGAAAGAGAATTTCAACAAATATAACAAAAATTCTTGTGAAATAAAGCTTTAAGTTAGAGAGGCTGTAACATTTTCTATCACACACCAACACCGCAGCTCCCTGACTGAAAACTGTTCATGAGGATTTTTAAAGGAATCTCCAAATGAATGTGGGACATTCGATACTGACAGATATTGCTGCTAATGTTAACTCAACAAAGTGCAAATGAACAAGTAGTGGTGAGTAATAAAGGTCCAGATTTATAGAGGTAGGCTGTATGAAAGTTGACAATTAACACCACTTCCTGTGGTACAGTAGGAAACGTTGTCGAGAGAGCTGGATATGTTTGCCCTCCTGAATATCATTAGATGTATAGCAAGAGAACATGTAGACACTGCAACGCCTGTTACCAAAGGTGATGCTCCCAGTTTCTTTCCCCAGCGGAAGGTTATAAAGCACTAATGCACACAGGGTAAACAAAGTCTATTTGGTCATTTAGTGCCCCTAACTGAAAAATGTCATGTTGCAGCACACGTTATACATTTTGGACATTCTGCTGTACAACTGTTCTAATAAAGTTGCTCCACTGCAAATACACAGAAACAGCACAACACACCAGAGTGTGTGTGTGAGCAGGGTGTCAGTTTGAATCCAAGGCTGACTGCTTATGGTGGCAGGTGTCCTACAGTGGACTTTGGCAAGGCCCCTACAATCCTGTATCTGTCATTCCAAGAAACTCAAGCTTTTGCTCTGGACAATTTTCTCTTCCTGTGTGGTGACACAAAGCAATCCAGCAGCTTTCCCACCTTCACAAGTAGTACACATAAAATTCAGTACACCCGGTTTCTCAGTAAAGGTTGTGCTTGTTTGTGGTAACCATGGCTGCCAACAGAGTCTGATCCTGGTCTCCAGTTTACAATGGATCTCTCTTTTTTGGGCAATAAACACTTTTAATATTGTATATATAACATTTCTAATCTTGATTTTAGCAAATAATGCAACATTTCAACTTTATATAAACCCAAAGGGCTGTACTGAATGATGGCTATCAGTTGTTTTTCACTACAAACAACAATAAGACAACTGTATGAGGAATATTTACAAGCCACTGTTTTGTTTGTCAGTACTGGGTCTTGACAGGATCTCAGCTTGAACTTGACGACAGCCCTGATGATAACTATACTAAACATGCTCTACATGTAAAGGATAATTCTAGTTTATTTCATAGTTAAGTAGACATAATTTCTATCAGCTGCAGCCAGTCAGATCATTCAGGCTGTAAGCAAACTCCAGGTCAAACGTATCTGAAGAAGAAAACAAACATTAATATTATTACGTGTCTGTTGTTAACATCCATCACAGTTTTACAGACTGGTTAAGCTTTGATCATCAAGGCTGGATTACCAACCTGCCAAAGCTGGCAACTGTCCAGAACCTCCGGGGCACTGAAAGCTAAGCATGGGCTAATTCTTTTGAATATTTGTTTGAGAATATGCATCATTAAAGAACATTATTATCTGACATGATTCGGATTGTACTCTATTACCTGATCTCTATAGGCCCTGTCTGTTGGATCCATGTGCTGAGATGATCCCTCAGTAGTAGCTACAGGCTTAGTTGTGACATGCCGACTACAATATCTATCTAGCTATCATAGCTGATAGAAATGATTCAGCAATTGTGCTCTCAAGCTGGATCTGGACATCTTGTTCTCTGACAGATTCTGAAGACCTTGCAAAGAGCTTAAACCCAACCTGCAGTAACAACTCCATCCCTCCCAGACAGCCACAATGTGCAGTGAATTACACTCAGCTATGTTTCAAGGATACAGCTGTGTAGTGTGAAATGAATGCTGTGCAAACATAGCGCTCATTTCTGGACATATTATCTGAAACTCAAGCAATCTGATATGTTAGCGACTGCTAACTGTCTCCGTATGCAATAACAGGAAATTCCTTTCTAAGTTTTTGTTTACCCTATGGTAATGGAGAGGAGGAAATGAAAAGCCTTTTGGCTTTTAACTGTGAATGGGTCAGGGAGAATTGGAGGATAATCGTTGGCTTGCCCTCGCAATACTTTGGTATCTCCCTTCTTATTCTATCCTCTCGAGGATGTGTGCTTTCACTTTCAGCCTCATCAGCACCGTGTTCCTGCTCCACTATCCAGCCTCCCACACAGGCAGGAAGCCTGTATTCAACCAAGATTGGCAAACACACTGAATCTGCTGATGAAATTTTAAACTGGCCTAAAAATTTGTTTCATACGTGTGTGTGTGTGTGTAAACCTCCGTCTTCAAGGTCCTTACTTGGGGACATGCAACACATGCCAACTGGACTTCGTTTTCATGGTAACCACATGCCTGGGGGCAGCATGTTTCTGTGCATGTGTGAATGTGTTATAACTGACGGGATGAAGAAGAGCCAGAACTAGCTGGAAGCAACATGTCTGTTAGCAATCTGAATGGTATCAAAAACCAGTTTGGTACCTGAGCTGAAACTATACTTGATAGTCACCTGCACACACGCACACACACACACACACACACAGGAAGTTTTTCCTGCTTGAGTTGATTGAAAGCAGTTGTGATCACAGCCAGGTGGATGTGATCCACTTGAAGGGAGGGATGACACACAGAGGAGGATGGATGGAGAAATGACAGGAGTGTGTGTGTGTGTGTGTGTCCCTGCTCTTTGCTCATGTTCTGATCTGGTCTCGCTTAGTTTCTCTTTTAATCATTTCTGACAGTCAATATTCAGTTTCTTTACAGAGCTTTTTGACACATGTTGAAAGCTACACTTTAGAGCATGTTTGGAGTCTCAAAGGATCAGTGCCTCAGTGAAAGCCAAGAAAATGATAGATTAGCACCCTTCTAAAGAATGAGTGAAGTTCTTCTGAGATGTGTAGTATGTACAGTACTGTGCAAAAGTTTTACGCAGGTGTGGAAAAATGTTGTAAAGTAAGAATGCTTTAAAAAATAGACATGTTAATAGATCTATAAATTAACAAAATGGAAAGTGAGTGAACAGAAGAAAAAACTAAATCAAACCAATATTTGGTGTGACCACCCTTCAAAACAGCAGCAGTTCTTCTAGCTACACCTGTACAAATTCAATGATTTTGTAGGCATATCTTCAGGTGTATGATGCAACAATTATACTAAACTAGTAACATTTTGGATAGCCTTCTTCCTTTTTTATTATATTACATTTTTACACACCTGCCTAAACCCTTTGAGCAGCACTGAATATAGTGGGAGACTAAATTTTTTTGCCTTTACATAAAATGTGGGATGCATTTTTCTTCTAATTTTTCAGTCCTTATTTTACAAACATACTTATGTAACAAAACAAGGCTGTGACTCCAATTAAGTAAACTGCAACTGAAAAAACCCAACCCCATACCTCTCCATGCTCTCCTTTTCCACTCTGCCTGTGTTCCCTCTCCCTTATTTCAATCCTTCCTCAATCTAGTGCCCTATGAGTAGACAAAATGAAAACCGCAGGACGGGTCCAAACCCAAATAAACCACACATACAGAACTTGCTGTATCAGTGAAAGTGTGATGAGGTGTTCAGGCACTGTATTCCAGCAGATGTTTCCTGCCTTCCAGTGGTGCTGCTTTCCCAGTAGATGGCATCGTCTTCCCATAAATAGAATTCCCATTTTTTTCAGATGGTGCTGGGCACCTGTGGCTCTGGGAATCCATTCAGATAAGATTTTTCCAGCTAAGGCTGATGTTTCCCAAAAAGCTGATAAAGTGAATTGCTTCCCTGAATTTCACCAGAAAATATTTTCACAATGACCAATGAATATTACCTCAAATCTCCTTATTTACTTCAGCAGTCATGATACAGTATCACAAGCTCTGTTTTAGGCTCCGCTTACTAAAATAAGCAAGATATTATCTCAAAATGTGAAGATGAGCCTCAGAAAGCCTTTAAAAGTATCAGTGTTAGTTTTCAGTGCACATTTTGGCGTGCCTAAATCCTCAGTGGCCTTTCAATCCCACTAACAGGAACACTCTGAGGAGAAACACTGCTAGTCCCCATCTCTCTGGTATCAGTTTTCTCCGCACACTTGTGGTTTTATGAGTGTTTTATGTTGGACACTAATGCTGTTAAACACTCTGGAGGGGAGTTCCTCTGAGACAAACTGTTGCACAAGAGCTTGCTAACTGAAAATATTATCCTTGGAGAGCGAGGTAGGAGGGAGAATCAGTGAAAAGTCACTTAACTTGGAATGGGGAAGAATGTCTCACTGTGGGAATGTCACATGTTTGAGTTTTATCCCTCACGTTT